TCCAACTTTTATCTGTACACCTTGCAATAAAGCCTCCCCATTTCCATTTCAGCTGCAATACTCATAATACTTAAAAACAAAATTAACTCTTTGAATTAATGATGATGATTATTTAATATACTGTCTTGGCATTTTACGTGCTTATGTCAATTAACATCAAACATCTAAACTTATGTCAAGAACAGGTCTGTTATTAAAAACCCATTATGGCGGTTTGGTATATTCAATTAAGTAGACAATTTTTGAGATGTCAAAAATCACTATGTGTTCAATCAAGTGTTCTTATTGTTACATGTTAAGACATAACACGAGTCATTCTATTTTGAGTAAATGTTTCATCTTATATATAAAATTCTCGTGTCACAATGTTCGTTCCCATACTTCTCCGAAACAGCTCGACCGATTCTTATGAAACTTTTTATGCATATTCAGTAAGTCTGAGAATCGGACAATATCCATTTTTCATCCCCCCTAAATGTTAAAGGTGGTCCCACCGATAAATTTTTATTTTTTTATGATATACAAAAATACATTAATTGTCACCGCTCTACGATCAACCCCTGTTTTTTATTATAGTAGATAGTTATTTTTATTGAACTAAAAAAATGTTTCTTAGAAATAATATACATGGCAAAACGAAGTTTGCCATAATAAATAAAAAAACTTACAAGTTAAAATATCGTGGGTGCCTTATTTATATAGTTTCCAGAAACGTTTCTAAGCTTAAACACACAGTCATTTATCCAACGGGCCATTGGGACGCAGGTGTGAAACCCCTCTTTACTCCTGTTTTAGATATTGAGACTTGGACAGTGGAAATTATTAATGAGTCTGTTGTAAGCTGTATTGTGTTCAGTTGGAAAATGGTATGTGTCTAACAATTTATAAATGTTTTAAGCAAGGAATAGGTGTTAAATGATTTGTATTGTTAAAACCTTAAACTCATATAGATATACAGTTCCTTTATTGATGACTGGACTCGATTTCTTCTAGCTATACTATTAGTTGGCCTAGTGGCTACGGCGTGCGAGTCTCATCCGTAGGTTCGATCTCTGGCTGTGCACTAATGTACTTTCTGTTTGTGCGCATTAAATATTAGCTCGAACGGTGAAGGAAAACGTCGTGAGGAAACCGGCATGCCATAGACCCAAAAAGGCGACAGCCTGTGGTCAGACACAGAGGCTAATTACTTTACTTGCCTTGATTGACAAATGATAATGACACTGATGCAGAAATCTGAGGCCCAGACCTAAATGTAGCGCCACATTTTACAAAATAGTTTAAGAGCGATACATCCAAAACTAACTTACCGTTTTTAGAAATAAAGGGATTTCTGTAGTATAAGCTGCATTAATTATGGTTTTATGTAAATTGACTAAAATAATATCGATTTCACTTGAGGATTGCAACAAATTCACGACATCCACACGGGCGAATTTGCGGGGAGGGCCGGTACTAAGAGACATTATTACTCATGTTTATTCATATTAAAGATTTGATTTTGAGAATATTTATTAACACAAAACACAAATCTTCTTTTTGATAATTTTTCTTCTGCCTAGTCATTTGCTACTGCTTTTATATTATTAATTGTTACTCAATTAACCCTTGGATTAGCGTTTCCATTTTTATTTATATATATTATTGTTTATTTTTTTTATATATATTTTATTTTGTGTTATAGTTATAGGTAGTGTTATATGTTATTTTGAGTTTGAGTTTTTGTTAATTATTTATGCTCTTCTTGTACTTTACCCTCTGTGGGTGTTTCTTTTTCTATTGTTCCATATTAGGGTTGCCTGGAAGAAATCACTTAGCGATATCGCCGCCTGTTGCCTAATAACTTATGTAAATAAACAGAAGTAATATACAAGAATTATACTACAGTACACAGCGTTAATTTGGTACACTCGATATTAAAACATGCAAGCCTAGGATGAGGATATTTACTCCCGATCCTTATTCCCATTTGAAATAATCCATAAAAAAACCGATTTAGTCACCACATCATTAGCTCCTAACACCAGATCCAACTTGCTTCAAAATCAGCTCATAAATAATGGCTTCTTAGACACTTTATCGATCAAATATAACGAGCTCCAAACCTAGTTAACTCGAGTCTTACCCGACCGTTACGGCGAGTACTGAAGCAGGTGTTTTAAAATATTCTTACAATTTGACACATTTAATTGTGTGACTTTAAAGTCTATCTAGTAGTTTTATACCAACCGTATAAGCTGTATTTTAATTATGAACAGGACAGTAAAAACGTTTCTGACATACAGGGGTCATACTTTGACATAGACATAACATTTATTACAAACAAAAACACACACACATAAACACACAAAATAACAATAATCAAAGAAAAAAATAAAATAAAAAATATAATTAGAGATAACAATTTTTTTTTCCTTTTCCCATTCGGTTCGTTTCAAGTGTGTAATGCGTGTGTGCTGTGGCTGTAATTGGCCCTGGCTCAGCATTATGCTGAGGAGCAGAATGTTCCAGAGCGCTGGTCATTCTGCCTGAGACCACAGCAGCTAGTTTACGCCTCAGTCGCAAATAAAGAAAGAAAAGGAATGTAATACTTAGTAGAAAAAAATAATAATATTAGTTAAAGTAAGCAGCGTAGGTAATGAAGTCTTGTGTAGTAAATCAAATAAAATTAAAAGTTCTTTTGCCAAGTCTTATTTAGTCACTCCGTTGGTAGTAGGATCCAAAGTGTCAGAAACAAGAAACTTTCAGCGCTCCCTGCCCTGTGCTACCTGGCAATTGGCACTGGCTTTCAACTGTCGTTGAGCTAACTAAGCTGAGCTGGTATTCGACTACTACACTTTCTTAAGCTCCCTCCGCCACCCGAAATTGGCATGCCTACTCTACAAGCTATTAAAATACATTCTTAATTTACAGTAGTATTAATTTTGCGTTAAGTATATATTTTACAAATTTAGTAACTACTAAAAACTTGTTTTCGAAATCTAAAAGAACAACCATACTTTGAAAAGTGGTACTTAAAGTTACGAACTTGTGGTTGTAAATTACACTAGCTCAAAATGCTAGTCATTTTGCGATTACATAATCCACGATTTCGTTAATATTAAATAAGTTATATATTATGGCATATATGTATTTCTAAAATATATGAAAAATACATCGGTATTTGCCTATTATAGGTACAGTCAGCAATTTCGTAAGAAAACTTAATTGCCTAAATATCTTCTATCACAACCACACGTCAGACTCGACACCTTGTTATCTACACTATTATTATTAAGAGGAAGAGAGAGGAGGATTTGATTGTTTGTTTGATTTGGGATCCAAAAAACCTGATTAAAAAAATCTTACAACATTAGATAACTGCATTATCCCTGATACACATAGCTATAGTATATTTTCGGCATCCATATGAAAACTTTGATAATAAAAAAATCCAAATAAAAATCCCTATATCGCTTAAGCTGCGGAAACTATGGATAATAGAGCGACGTGATGTACTACAGTATTATAGAATACATCAAATACAAAAAAGTCATATACGTTTAAAGAAAACACTTTTTTACCGGATTAAAGTTATGTCTGATATATAAAATTCTCATGTCGCGGTGTTTGTAGTTAAACTCCTCCGAAACGGCTTGACCGATTCTCATGAAATTTTGTGTGCATATTGGGTATGTCTTAGAATCGGACAAGATCTTATTTTCATCCCCCTAAATGTTAAGGGTAGTCCACCCCTAAATTATATTTTTTTAATTTTCAGATATTTTTTTTTTATGATACTGCATTAAAAATACATACAACCCCTAATTTTCACCCCTCCAATATTTATATTATAAATGATATACATGGCAAAACGACGATTGCCGGACAGCTAGTATTATTATAAATTAACAATTATTTTACATCATTTTAAATTTTTCCGACGTTTCGCGTGCTTTACAGCATGCGTGGTCACGGTGACACATAACTTCAATCCGGTAAAAAAAGTGTTTTCTTTAAATGTGTAAAAGTGTCAATAAAAGACAATACTAAGTCATATATTAGTCAACATATTTAATAAAAAATACCATGCGAAGTCGGGACTGAATAATTATACTAAATATATCTTAGAAATATTGTATTTAGTCATATAACATTTACTTCAATACGCAATAAACGCACCATTAACACACAAAAGTACCAAAATTAAGTATATTTACAATAGTCCATTTACCCAAAAAGGTCGAATCCATTCTAGTTACAATCGTAATTTCTTGTTAATGTGACAACCCTAATCAAAACTGATGAATGAGATCTTCTATCTCTCTCGGATGTTTTTATTTCATTAGGTTTTTGTGAAAGGGCGATAATTCTCGATAACTGTCAATTTGCTAAGTGCTGTTTACTCTGTTCACACTTCAAACGGGATACATGTGTTCCGTGATACGTATTTAATTTAGTGCTACAGATACCCGCGACTTTGCTTGAATAAAATTTATTTATTTATTAAAACTTCGTTACATTACATATAAAAAATTATATTAGGGATGTAACGGGCGGCTTTATAACTAACAAGCGATCTCTTCCAACAAACTATATATATAGGTTATAAAAAGACGAAAAATAATAAATGTCTCAAATATAAGTCTTTCGTCCAATTTTGATTTTGTTCCCTGTTGAGTAGAGACTTTTGGACCGTGGGGTTCAAGTGCACATGCACTAATAAAAGATTTAAGTGGTCGCCTGGTAGATAGTACCGGCGACCCCAGAGCTGGTGCTTTCCTCGCTCAAAGAATAAGTATCGCAATCCAGCAAAGAAATGCTGCCTGCGTTAAAGGTACACTGCCACAGTGACCAAACTTTTTAAATTTTTATATATAAATTTCTAATTATTATTAATACTATGTATATAAAGAAATAAATAATACAATTCCAAGTAACAGTGAAAAATTAAAAGCACTTTTTAATCAAAAACCTTTGTTCCAGATGCAACAAAACCATGCGGCGATTTGACAAAACAAATGAATAACACAGACACCAATCCAATCATGATTGGGGAATCACCTAACAAATTCACCAACAGTAACCTTCTGGACCCTTCTAGAAGCCAGAGAAGTCTGCTAAAGAACCTACTAGAAGACAGAGGATATGTAGATCATAGGAAACGTGTGTGTGATAGTAATAAATTAGACAATACTAGTGAATATAGTGTGATTAGAAGAATTGTTTGCCGGTGCTGGAGGTTTAAGACGTTGTTATTGTTAATGTTAGTGACGATATTCGTTGATACGAGACTGCATGTGGAGGCGAGAAGTGCAGGTAAGGTTTTTTTTTATATTTAATTTTAAGAAGTAAGACACGTACTATGGAAGAAGAACGCTCCATACCTTTGACATACTCCATTCTTGTTTATTTGTGATATAGTATCAATAGTTAATAGAGAGCAGTGTTGGCCTAGTGGCTTCAGCGTGGGACTCTCATCCTTGAGGTCATAGGTTCTTGGACTTTTTGTCTATGTGCGCTTCTAACATTCGCTCGAACGGTTAAGGACAACATCGTGAGGATATGTTACAGGCACAGGAGGCTCACCTTGCCTATTAGATTGACAATGATCATGAAACAGATACGGAAATCTGAGGCCCAGGCCTAAAAAGGTTGTAGCGCCACTGAGAGCTGTTACTATTTGTTTATCTAAAATTAAGGCGGATTATCGTACATATGCGCACGCGACTATTACAAACGATTTTTAAAATGAACGAGAAATTTTCAAGTCGTTATACTTAGATGACAGCAATTCGCGACTTGTGTTTATAGCAAAATATGCAAGACATCTCTAGCGTAGACAATGGACCTTTAGTTCAACGTTCACAGAAACTAGGGCATATTTTCGACTGAATGTGATGCTTATTAAGTCACAAGAACACTTAAATAATGTGATATAACTCACTTGGGTAGCATTGTTTAAATTCAAAAAAATCATTCGCTCATTCGTATGACTAATTTCGGCTACTGACTAATTAACATTAACATTCTAAATGGTTAAGTAAATATAAAGGTGCTAATCTGTTTTTAGAAATCGTTTGAGTCATAGCCAAATCCTTTTTATCATTGTATCATGTCAACGACCAATATTTAAGCCTTGACTTGTTTAAGCTATCGCGGAATATGCTTAAGGAGTATTAAGAATATCCATAGCGCTAAATCACCTGCATGAGCAGACCCCACATACACACATACCCATCTTCACGTACATACTCTCACTTATACACAACAACCGAATTAGATATTACTTAAAATGTATTTATTTAATTAATTAAGTAAGTTTAAGTAATTTCATTGAATTGTTCCTTATGTTTCAACCTTTTTATGTATTCGATCTTTGGTGTTATCTTAAGTTATGTTAGCTGTACGATTACGAAATAAATATATAAATTAAATGGCTAGGCGCGCGACTTTTAACCATGGTGTCGGATGTTCGAACATACTAGATCTAATAAACACCAGCTTTTAGAGAAATGCTTAGTTTTAAACAGGCACGTCAGGTATGGTTCAAAATCGGCGATGTTCAGAGACAGCATAAAGCCGACAAGGAACGGAGGACCAGACCGTGTTGTAGCGCCGCTGGTTTCGCCACCGTTCTCTATCTCAATCTAAATCGTGATCATTTGTTTTTAATAATAAGCTAGTAAGTGATCAGTCGTCTGTATCTGACAGCGCTGTCGACCGACATTTCTCATGATGTTTTTCTTCACCGCGAGTGCGAAAAAGTATTAGTACACAGCCGGGCTTCGAACGTCTCAAGGATGTAAGTCGCAGACTTCACTATGCCACTGCTCTCAGCAACTATCACTATCTATATAACAAATATAAACAAATAGCAAAGTGTTGCTTGCCTTGATAAAGAACCGGGTCCATTGTTCAGAATCCAAAATTGATTGATCGCCTTCGAAAGATGGCACTATAGGAGATCACATCTCGTTAAAAACATACCCTGATAAACAATTCGCAAGGCGATTGAAAAAAGCTAAAGTACTCCAATCAAATCATAATCCATTATGACTTCACTCCGCCCCGCTGAACTTCCAAACTCTGGAGGTAAATATTTCAACTAAACCTCCCTTCGTAATGTATTCTCCCTCATCTTTGCCTATTTTGCATGAGGAGGGAATTTAAATTGTGTAATCTAACTTTCAATTCATTCATACATTCAGCGCCATCTCTCGTTGATAAATTGAAACTTGACTTGCATTTAGTTGGGATTTAGTATTTAGCTTAAGTTGTATCTTAGTTTCAGTTGCTCTAGTTTCTTCAAATATGTTGCATTGAATGTATGTAGGAGACATTTCATATGAAATCTCGTGCTAAACCAATTCATTATCAAAAATTTGGTTTAGACAATTCAATAAAACTTTTAAAGCAACTGGATTTAAAATAAATATTAAAACTACACAGGATATTTAATCAACACCGTAAGTTGGATGATAGAACCTTTTAAATGTACTTTAAAAAAATATTCCAATTTTTTAAACATCGAAGTATAGAATTTTAAATAATTTGAAATGACTTAGTCACAATGTTTAACTCGGCGTTTATCACGGAGTGTTCTGTTTTTAAAAAAGTCCGCGAAAATTTTCATAAATTTTCTCATTTCGCGTCGTGCCTGCAACGCTCCATTAACATAATTAACACGTCATAAGGATTAAAAAAGATCATCATCTTACCTTTGTAAGCGTTAAAAAGTTCGTCATTTTCAAAGCCTTTTCTGTCCAAAAAAAACCGTAACTTGGTAATTATCACGTTAAACTTAATGTTACTCTTGTCATTTTCAGTAAATCACGAAAATCTCTGTATTCGTTCCATTTTATGTATAAAAAAATAAAAATTAATCAGTGGCGCTATAACCTCTTTAAGTCTTGGCCTCAGATTTCTGAATCTGTTTCATGATCATTTTTTAAATCTAATAGGCAAGTAGGTGATCAGCCTCCTGTGCCTGACACACGCCGTCGACTTTTTAGGTCTAAGACATGTCGGTTTCCTCACGATGTTTTCCTTCACCGTTCGAGCAAATGTTAAATTCGCACATAGAAAGAAAGTCCATTGGTGCACAGCCGGGGATCGAACCTACGACCTCAGGTATTCACAGGTGTCGCACGCTGAAGCCATTAGGCCAACACTGCTCTATTTTATGTATAATAATAATTAATATCAGATGAGAGTTGTAAAACTGTACCGAATAATATAAACTAAATCGTGATATTATGTTACATTAAAAAACCACTGTTGTTGTACAAACTCAAACACAATAAATTAAAAATGGTTTAAGTGAAATAGCTTCGAGGTACCTGTGTGCTCACTGCCTCACTGCCTCCAAATATTACTAGTTACAGATACACTTAGAATGTCATGTGGAACATGGTGTCATGGTTGCAGCTCCTTACATACATTGTGTAAAACAGAAAACTTGGCGATTAAAAAGATTGGCGGAGAGTTTATTGCCAGTTCTTCTCTTCCGTCCTACGCCCTTGATTTGGGAACCGGCAGTAAATATAAAATTAGAAGCATTTAATATGTATTTCTTTTTGACGTTCATAAATAAACATTGTGTTACCTATATGAATAAATGATTTTTGATAAACATAGCTAAATATTTTCTACATACAGTAGTGGAACAGGGAATAATTACTAGAAGATCACGCAGAGGAGAAAATTTTAATACATCACTAAAAAGTCCCAAAAAACTTATTCTAATCCAGACGTGCAAATATGAGTTCCCCCTCAGCCTTTTTCATTTTTTTAAACGGGTAAATTGCAATCAGCCCTAATGAAAGGACAGTTGACGCCTTCATTAAGGCCTAGAGAGATATACATATAGCAAATTGTGCTTTGTATGTGGTATGTGGTATATATTACGACTTTACAATGAAGCTTTTGAGAAAAATATTTCGTATCCGACCGCATTGTGGTTAAGCGTTCTTCGTGACCATAATGCGGGAAAGAAAAACTTTTTGTTTTTTATGTTTACGAGAAATTTACAAAAATATTTGAAAGTAAAAATATATACATATATATAATATGGTAAGATGACTCGTGTGATGTTAAGTGATACCGCCGCCGATTGAAACTCCGTCAGAATGCTCGGGACTTTGCGTGGACCGCCTTTTAGGAAATTTAATATTGCGTTTGGTATATTAAGTATATTATAAATCTGTAAAGTGATATTACATAAATTCATTTGCTTAAAAAATATCCAAATTTAGAAAATGAAAAACTATGAACGAATAATATTGTATTACTTAATTATCTGATTTAGGCCATTGAGGTCCTAGGTTCGTTTTCTGGATAACAATTGTTTCGACTAATAAAGCAAACAAAGAGATATGTCAACACCTAGATTATAAGTAATCTGGTATTTAGGTACTTTATTTTCACACACTCGAACTGTTAAATTAATTACACCAATTCGACTTAGGGTCTTTCAAGAAAAGAGCGTAACAATTCTTAAAAGGCCGGCCACGCACTCGCGAGTCCTCTGGCATTGAGTGTCCATGGGTATCACTTATCATCAGATGAGGCACCTGTTTGCCCCTTCTATAAAATAAATAATTATTAAAGGTTCTTTTGATTTGTCTCGTTAAGTATTAAATATATAAATTTGGTCCACAAAACATAGCCTTTAGGCTTATGCACATGTTATCTATACTAATATTATAAAGAGGAAATATTTGTATGTATGTTTGTAACGAAATGGCTCAAAAAAGTACTCGACCGATTTGATAAATTCTTTCACCATTTGAATGCTACATTATCACCGATTAATATATTTTTATTGCAAGAAAAAATAAGGATCACTACTAAAATTGCAATAATGTTCCCCAAGGTTAAAAAAAATGCTTATAAAATATGTTTCTTCGCATACGCTGCGAAAACCATTGATGATATAAAAAAATCCATAAAGAACATCTCAATATCTACTAAAAATGTTAAAAATAAATATACAGCCGGGACGGGCCGCTCGTCATATATATATAAACAAAATCCATCATCCCTTTATCAATTTCATATATATAATAACGTCTTTAATGTATACGCTTAAGGTCCATTTTTGTGTGGCTATTACAGTTTTCAATTACAGCCGCCCGAGGACTAGACTGTCATCTTAAAATTATGGCTACCCAATTTTCAAGGTATGAAAGGTTTAGGTTGTCAAAATGGACGGCTTAAATTTAAAAAGCAGAACGCACATCGATATATAAAAACGATTTTTTTTAATTTGACTTTCCTTTTTTAGTTGTGGACCAATGTATGGAAAAAGATACTTTGAAGAACAACTTAGCGAACGGTTAAAAGTTTGTGGTGGTACTACTACATATATAGTCAAAATCATTTACGACGACATCGTTTAGAACAACATACCGGTTATACTTTGACCAAAATCAAAGGTCCCAGCGTTAAAGGTATTAGATACTTAATAACAACGTCATCGACCGTTACGGCTATCGGTTTTTACGACCAAATATGAGTAGTCCCTTCGATTTCGTTATAATAGATTTTGACTGTATTGACAACTTAAAGTGACTTAAATAAGATCTTATTAAATCTCTAATCTAAAATTTATTATTTGTCTCTGCGCTTACTAAAAAAATCCTTTAAACTTACAAAACAAATTGCACCATTTTACCTAAATAATCTGTCTCTTTTAATCACCGCGTAAACATGACTTGATGAAAGAGACCAAATACTTCAATTACTATAGACAATTACACAGTTATTTCAATGTGAAATATAAATCATTTAGCAATGTTATTTGCCCACAAACAATTGATTGGTATAGATGCTAATAAAAGGACCTTTGATAACTAAGCGTACAACTCTTTCATGTGAACAAAAACCCAATATCCATGACCCATAAACATTCCTATTGTTAGGAATATTTGAAACAACTGACACAAATATTCAGGTCAACGGAAGTGAAGGTAGAATCACCGTTTCCTTTGATATGTTTTTATTGCGAATTAAATATCACGACATCAAATAAAACCTGTCATGTACGATATCGGTTACAGTTGTTTAAGGGTCAGTTTGGTTCTATTAGTGTTCTCACTAGAGTGAAACAAAGAAAAATACATGATAAAATTACAAATACATTTAAAAAAACAAACCAAAAAATTTTGACTTTATAAGATGTATATAAATATAAGCTTTAGTCTGGTATAGGAAACGGGCAGCCCTATTTTAATGTTATACGAATTTGACACACCTTTGACACATTAATAAATAAATCATTCCGCGCTAGTGATAATTATTAACGAAAATGTTATTGGATTCAAAACACCAAATGATCTCCATCTCGATTGAATATTTTGCTGAACGTCATTCGAAAATTATGTAAAATATATTATACCAAATGACTTAGAGACAGTACGACCAACTAGCCTAGTGGCTAGTCCTAGGTTCCATCCCCGGCTGTGTACCAATGGACTTTCTTTCTATTTAGCACTCGCTCATACGGTGAAGAAAAACAGCTTGCCTTAGACCCAAAAAGTCGACGGTGTGTTTTAGGCTTTGGTTGATCACCTTTATTAAATTGATAAATGAACTGAAAAGGTTGTAGCGCCTTATTATTTATTTTTAAATGACACATGGGACAGCATAAAAGGCATTTGACAGAAATGCAAAGGCGCAATGCGTATCCAAAAGAGGTCAACAGTAATGCTTTTAGAATGTCTAAAAGTAATCTTCTGGCATTCGGCCGAATTCGCTTTAGAAATTAGGTTGCGAATGATGGCTATTACAATTTTTTATCTGTGCAAATTGAATTGAGTTTTCCCATTCTACAGATTAAACGAATAAATAATACATACGTTTGAAAATGGATTTCTTTCAGAAAGATTTTAATCTCAACTGAAAATAGTGTAGTCACTTGTTTTTTCATTCTAATAATACTAATAATAAAGCCCGTTTAATTTCCAATCATGATCATGAATACATTACATACATACATTTCTTTTTATTATCCTATATCTAAGTTACCTTCAGTACCGTCGATCGGAATCCCTTCACTGGTAAAAGCCTCCTCCAGCTTTTTCCAACTGACTCTATATATGGCTCCCTTTCTCCATTCGTTTCCTGCTACCGCTTCGAGTTCTTCTGTTCACCTTTTTTTGGACGACCTCTGCTCCTTCTTCCTCTTGGTCCTTTCCATACAGTTGTCTTTTTCATTCTACACTACTAAAATATTTACTAGTATTACTGTCATAAATGTTAATGTGAAATAGTTTATTATAAAAGTCATGTATATGTTTCTATTATCAATAAATAAATTTCCGTTAATACTTATGGTTTATTTAACATAATTCATTTATAATCTGTGGCATATAATGACAGTGGTAGCAGACAGAAACGCCATTGCTCCGACATATATTAAAATATGACGACTTTTAACGTAAATTTTTAACTAGTATCAGTTAAACACTATTATAACTATAAAACAAACAAAGGATTATTCAGAAAACTTTCCAAATACTTTACTAGCCGTAATAAAGAGTTACCGTTAACTCGAAAGTTTAAAGTTTTAAAGTGGTCAATATAAATTCGCATTCGGTCTCCAGTCCCGCAAGAGGGCGTGTTTATTGCTACGGTCACTTTATTACTTACGCTATTGAACTGTTAATTTAAACTTAAAATTTAACTTTGACGCCTCTACTCAGCTTCTATTTAAAAAAGCATGAAAAGAGTTTTAAAAAAATCAATGGCGCTACAACCATATCCAGATCTGCCAGAACTACTGACTACAAGAATGGAGCCTTTAACTAGAATAAAAGGTAAGCAATTAAGGCAAAAACAAAATATCTACTAATGGACTCTATTGTTTATCAATTTGTTGATAGTGATCAAAGTTGTTCGGACTAATTCCTGCAGCTTAGTTTCATTTTCGGTCGTCAAGGCAGAATACAAAATACCATCCATACCACCTTCCTCTTCAACTGTACTGACAGTTCTACAACTAAGCGTTTCTTAAGGCATTTTCTGCCGTGCACAACCACTATGTGGAACCAGCTGCCCACTGAAGTATTTCCGAACCAATTCGACTTCAAGAAAAGCCTAGCGAACCCCGAGGGCCCAAATTAAGGGCGTGTGAAGGGCTGAGGTGTTTTAGTGGGTGGGGTCTCGCTACCCCTCTAAATAGCAGAGGGATTTGAGTGTAGACCCAGCCCCACAGTCCCCGCGTCAAGCTCGACATCCTAGATGCGTGCCTGCGTAAGCGCATTTTCACCTCATAAAAAAAAGAATACAAATACCATCCGTATCGACGTCCGTCTTTCCACAACTGAGCGTTTCTTAAGGCAGTGCATCCATGGGTCGGTATTACTTAACATCAGATGAGCCTCCTACCCGTTTGCCTAATATTATATTAAAAAATATTAAATTACAAATATAGGAATTACACTTCTATAAAATGAAATTATTGAAGGGACCGCTTTATACACACTTGTGGTATAGTACATAGATAAATGTATGAGGAGAACAAACAGTCTGGTTGACAAAATACCCTGGTATCTGAGGAACAAGCCAGTATTCCAGATTTTTTTTCCATCACATAGAGGTAGCGGAACTTTGGCCTTAGCGAGATGTATAGTCGTCCATCCATATAATCGGTGTTGAGTTCAACTTATCAACAAATCTAACTATATAGTCCATAGCTCATATCACAGTTTTCGATAAGTTATTTTCGTTTTAGAAATTCCATTCACATTTACTTTCATATTAAAATAACTTTTAATGCATTTGAATTTAAAATTCAAATCGACATAATGACAATTCGCTTTAGTTTTTCTGTCTATCCATGTGTCAATTACGGCTGTCTCACAGGATGTTAAAACTTTTAATGTATCGGAGTTGTACTGAATGTAAATCGATTGGAAATGGTACGAACTTTGACTTTATACGCTCTTTAATATTAACGTTTCAACCCGTTTAAATTCAGTAAAAATGTATTTTTATTTCACACGAAACTTCACCAAATTGTATGGACGGTATCGATATGTTTGAGCTATTAAAAAATAGTTTTTCGCGCCTACGAACACTTGGAGAAATAATCTAAGAATTAAAGCAAGTACCTTTAGCAGGCATCAGTCTCACACAAACAAGCATTTCCCTCAATTATAAATAACTTCTGCTTTATTATGTGCACTATGTATGTAAGTTTTTGTGAGAATCATAATTGGTACAAGAGAAATACACGATTTAATTAAAAAAAAATCAGTGGCGCTATAACCTCTTTAAGTCTTGGCCTCAGATTTCTGAATCTGTTTCATGATCGATTTCGATTTAATTAGACCTTCTTAATTTAAATAGATATTGATACCTTATATTCAAAAGAAGAACGATGAGTTATGTAAATAATTTAAAAATTAGATTGCCTAACGCCAACCAATATAAACAGCAAATTAAAAAACTACTTTTATATGCATTTGTCGCGCTCCTAAACAAGACTGTTATGGTTACATCAATATAAACCACAGCGGTTTGCTAATGTAACTTATTATGATTGTATTATATTTTTGTGTAAAATAAAGAAATTAAATAAAAATTGAAAAAATACGCGTTGAATGAGTTTTATCTAATATTATAGTTCTATTTAAGTGTAGTACTCGCAAACATCACAGACAGTATTGGCCGTTGATGTTCTTTTGTTTTGTTTAAACAATATTTTAATAGCATATATTAATTATTACCTAGCGCACACACAAACCGCAAGGTGCTTTATAATTATATGTAAATTGTTATAAACGAAAGACTAAATTAAATGGTATTTAATTTAAACTTAGTTAATTTCTACTCTTATAACGCCTAATGGTTTCATTGTCGCTTTTTTGCTGAATCAGCGCCGTTTGGAAGTTCCCACGGCCGTGTTTTGACCTGTAATTCGTGAACTTAATTCAGCCGTACAGAGTACTCCTATACAGACACACATACAACGTTTAAATTCGATGTTATCTACAGGAAAGATACTATAACTTTAATAACTTTAGACAAGGCAGCCGTTTTTTTTCAAGCGAAGCGAAATGATTTAATTATTCGCATCTTCACTATAGGAATGTTAAGACATCTTTCATCAATCTTTGAGGTTAATTCCCACAATATTTTAAATAAAAAAAACGTTAGTCATATACTGTCCCTAAGTCGTTGCCCCCCGTAGAGAACCCTTCGTTTAATGACAACACTCGAGCACTATAGCTGCACGGTCATTTTTTAGGCCAAGAAGCTATTCAAATTCCTTAAAAGCTCTGCTGCATATGTCAATTAATAATGGAAGCAATAACTTATTCTACCGAAATAATTCG